CTAATTAGGTTAATTGGCAGCAGGTCAGTAACATGTTTTGGTATAAAAAAGGCATCTCAGAGATGCTGAGTCTTTCAGAAGTAAAGATGGGGAGGGGTTCACCACTCTGTGAAAGACTGGATGGTTAAATTGGGCAACAATTCAAGAATAATGTTTCTCAATGTAAAATAGCAAAGAATATGGGGATCTCATCATCAGTGGTACATAATATCATTAAAAGATTCAGGGAATCTGGAGAAATCTCTGTATGTACAGGAGAAGGTAAAAAAACCAATAACGGCTAGCGGTGATCTTCAGGCCCTCAGGCAGTACTGCATTATAAACAGGCTGATTCTGTATTGAAAATCAATGTCTGGGCTCAGGAACATTTCTGAAAACCACTGTCTGTGAACGCAGTTTGTCACTACATCCACAAATGCAAGTTAAAACTCTACCATGCAAAGAAGAAACCAGAGTTTCTTCAGAATCCAGAAACACCGCCACCTTCTCTGGGCCCAAGCTCATTTACGATGGACTGAAGTGAACTGGAAAAGTGTCGTGTGGATGAATCAAAATTTGAATTTCCTTTTTGGAAATCATGGAAACTGCATCCTCCCTGCTAAAGAGGAGAGGGATCATCTGGCTTGTTCTCAGCACACAGTTCAAAAGCGAGCATCAATGATGGTATAGTTCAGTCACCCATACCATAATGCACCCGCATTAGTGGACATGGTATAGGTGACCCACACATCTGTGAAGGCACCATTAATGCTGAATGATATATACAGTTTTTGGAGCAACATATGCTGCCATCCAGATGACGTCTTCTTCAGGGGAAGCCTTGCTTATTTCAGCAAGACAATGTCAAACCACATTCTGCACGTATTATAGCAGCATGGCTCTGTAGTAAGAGTCCAGGTGGTAAACTGACCTGCCTACAGTCCAGACCTGTCACCCACTGAAAACATTTTGCACATTATGGAACAACAAATACAACAAAGCAGATGCTGAACTGTTGAGCAGCTGAAATCATGTATCAAGCAACAATGGGAAAATGTATCACTTTCAAAATTACATCACTTGGTCACCTCAGTTCCCGAACGCTTACAGAGTGTTGTTAAAAGAAGAGATGATGCAACACAGTGGTAAACATGCCCTCGTCCCAACATGTTGCTAGCATGAAATATAAGATGTGAATATATTTTTCAAAAAACAATAACATTTCTCATTTTCAACATTTGATATGTTGTCTTTGTACTATTTTCAATTAAATATAGAGTTTATATGATTTGCACATCATTACACTCTGTTTTTATTTACATTTTGCACAGCATCCCAACATTTTTGGAAACAGGGTTGTAAAAAAACACAGAACAGACTGTTAAAAGCAGGAACATGACTTCTAGTGTCACAGAGCCATTGATAATCTTGAAGAAGAATCCAGCTACAGAACAAGTCAAATAAAATGCTCAAACACATCAAAAATAGAGTGAAAAGAGAGAGTTAGAGAGAGAAAGGCAGATGGTATATAAATAATTGCAAAATTATTGCTGCTTAATATCAGGGAAATGCATTGCCAGAACCAAAATACACTTCAGATGTTAGATTCATTTTGCATTGTGTATCACTTTGCATGAAACTTTTTACTTGCAAATATACTGTCTACTATTGGTATAGTGGCAAATAACAAACACAAGTTAATATAAATATATTAATGGGACTATTCATGCTAAAATGAGTGATGCAGACTCCAAATAATATACAACAACAGTAATATAAAAAACAGTACATAGTATTTGTGTAATGCTGCTTTTCCGTGTCTCTGTCACCTTTACAGTGGCTTTGAGAGATTTGGAAAAAAAACCCAGCAATGGATAAAAGTGGGAAATTACAACAAAGGCACGTCTTCCTTTCAAGCGTATCCTCAAAACAAATGCAGACGCATGCTAGATTCTCATTTCAATAACGCTAAGCATGCTGGCAGACTTACAGGGGGGTTTCTTTTCTGTGCATCAGTGGAGGAAAACAGCTAGGGGATGAGCTGCCACATAAATGCAAGGAAACAAATAGCTCACTGAAAAGCTGCTAGTTTCCTTTTATGCAGGAAAGAAGGTGATTTCTCATTCAGGGTGGAATAAAGGGCATCTGATTTGGCTACATTTCGGTATTACATTGGGCTATTCTTTATAATACATTTCAAAGTGAGAAACTGTGTTTTAAAATCACCCCCCCCCCACCACATTTCACTGATGTTCTACTTCGTAGTGCTGTACAGTATTTACACAGTTATTTCTACATGGTAGAATTATGAAGCGGAGATGAACAGTGCCTATTAGAGCTAAACCTTCAGTTCGGGCTATAAATGTCAAAATTCAGTCAAAAACAAGGAAGGAAACTCTGCTACAATGCTGATAATTTCTGCTAGCACCCCTATGGGACTACTGCCAAGCTAACAGTGATTAGGCACTGAAACTTTTTTGGCCATTCTAGATTAAAGCCTTCAAATCTCAGGCTTATTACATATTAAGGCTGTAATTCAGTAAGTACAGGCACTTCAATGCAAACTGGTTGAGCTATTAGGTTATAGAAGTGTGTAATAAATCTTTGGGCCGTGGCCACGTATGGCTTTAAACACATATTTGAAGCTTGTAAAAGACACTCCTTGTTTTATTTGAAGCTTGCTATGGACATATTATATTTGACCATGTATGCAGTTTTACAGTGACTCCTTCAGTAAAAAGCATGTAGCTGCTGGCATCTGCCACTGTTTCCTACTCCTAACATCTAATTGAAACCTGGTTAGAATACCACTCATATTCACAGCAAGTCACATATCTAGAACTTCCATAAGGTCTAGTGACAGTTTTCTCACAAAATTGTTCCCATCCATTGTAAATCAATACATGATTGGAAAATACATAAAAGTTAATTCACTATGTTTAAAAAAATTATCTGTTTGCAAGTAGGAATATCAAGTGGAAATCTAATTTGACCAAAATTGTTACAGTCCTTTTCAGAACGTACATAATTCCAACATCACACTAAAGCTGGATCAGTGTGCCTTTCCATGATCATATACTCCAGGTGAGTTTCCCTGCTCCAATACATCCCTTTTCTGTCATTGGTTTATTATCAAGTGGAATTAAATATGCAACAATATGGAAAATGCTAACCATGCAGTATTTACATTTAAACATACACCAACCAGCCACTTCATTAAGTGCACCTTCTTGTATCTGTGCTCTTTTTATCAGCTCCACTTACCATATAGGTTCTACCATTACAGACTGTAGTCCATCTGTTTCACTGCAAACTTTGTTCACCACTTTTTACCTTTTACAGGACCACCATAGAGCAGGTACTATTTGGGTGGTGGATCATTCTCAGCACTGCAGTGACACTGACATGGTGTGTTAGTGTGTGTTGTGCTGGTACGAGTGGATCAGACACAGCAGTGCTGCTGGAGTTTTTAAACACTGTGTCCACTCACTGTCCACTCTATTAGACACTCCTACCTTATTGGTCCACCTTGTAGATGCAAAGTTCTTGATGCTAGTTCATCTGATGCTGCACAGTTTGTGTTAGTCGTCCTTTATCAGTGGCCACAGGACGCTGTCCACAGGATGCTGTTGGCTGGACATATCTGGTTGTTGGGCTATTTGTGTTCAAAAACTCCAGCAGCACTGCTGTGTCTGATCCACTCATACCAGCACAACACACACTAACACACCACCACGTCAGTGTCACTGCAGTGCTGAGAATGATCCACCACCCAAACCACCACTGCTCTGTGGTGGTCCTGTGAGGGTCCTGACCATTGAAGAACACAGTAAAACGGGGCTAACAAAGCTAATAAAATGGACAATGAGTGTAGAAATAAAGAGGTACTTAATGAAGTGGTTGTTGGTGTATAATTATGTGAATATTCAAATATATTTTCACTGTCCAAAAAAACAAAATTTCAAGTATCTCCAAAATGGTAAATTTACAGGAAAAGACCAAAACCTTCTTTACTTTTAATGCATGTTAATGTAAAGAGATTTTAATCCAAGCAATTCTGGAGCATTTCTATTGATCAGTTTATCATGAAATTTGCATACAATGCAAAAGGCAGCTGTTGGGCTCAAATGACATAGAAAAATAAAAATTGACAAAAATACTTTTTCATACTGTGCACCAATGATCATTCTTTCATTCTCTTTCACGTGGCACATTTTATGTAGGTGTTCCCTTAGTACAATCATTCTACTCTACTGTTAGTTTAAAACGTATACAATTGAAAATGTTGCACTTAATTAAAGTCTATATAAACAGAACACGGACTAATTAACTGCACAAATAGATAATCTGAAAGGCATTTTTATAATGTTATATAATTATAATGTAGATTTTCAGTCTAGCAAAGAATGCTGGGGCAAAATTCAGGCTTCAGAATGCCACCTACTATTGTTTTTAGTTGCAGTGTATTTAGCTGCATTTTATAGGCCAGAAACCATCTCAGCAAGACTACTGACGTCCAGCTGTCAGAACAGAGTCACGCCAAGACCTCTTTCTCCTCATTGCGTTCCCTCAAAAGAGTGTTGCATTTGCAGGAGAACTCAAAATTATTGCGAGGGAACGTGAAATACTGGCAAGGGAATGCAAAATAATTGCAAGGGATCATTAAATTATTGCAATGGAACACCAGATACTGGCAAGGGAATGCAAAATTATCGCAAGAGAACATTAAATTATTGCGAGGGAATGCAAAATTATTGCAAGGGAACGCAAAACACTTGCAAAGGAACGCCGTGCCATTTTTTAAACCACGGCCCCTTAAGGGCTTATGGTCTCCGTACCTTCTAAGACTGCTAGCCGTTCCTTGAGAGACAACACCTCATGTAGTTTACCAGGACCTATTTCTGTCCACCCTGCACCTTCTTATCTCCACAGTGTGAACGAATGAAAGAGCTGGTACACTAATTTGAACCAATCGTATTCGAGATCTCATGCGAGTCCCCGCCCCCTCCGCCATCGACCTCCAAACAGAGGAGGCGCAGGTCACAGATGTCAATCAAAAATACTCATTCAGCTGTTCCAGTACGGGAGAGCCACGAGTGTAGCCCGCTGTTCTCTGTATGGACCTCGCTCGCTGAGTAGAACCTGTACCCGAACATGGTGAGTTCAGTTCTAGCAGAATGGCGCGGAATCATTTTTGCTGCCTGTTTTTTCAGCGGCGTTGCTTTAATGCTATGCTAGTTAGCGCCTGTAGCTCTCGCAAGCTAGCGGTTAACTTGTTAGCTGCCTGGCTAGCTGCTTTGACTGGGGTTGCTGAATTAAAAGCTGCCGGTTCTTCACAGTAGCGAACTATATTAACCTATATGTTCACGGCTTATTCATTTGTTAGGCGACGTGGTTGTTCTTTAACATGCAGACACATTTAATGTTAACGTGGGTAAACAAGGAGAAATGCAGAGTAAGTTATTCAGCTAGCCTGCTAGCCAGTTGGCTAACTTTCCTCAGAGTCTCAGAGTCAGATTTGTCACCGTCTGCTCTCTACTATTCAGTATGGCACTGTAACTTCTGTCGTTTCTGCTCTCCCCAGTCGAAGAATTTCTTTTAAATATCATAATGACAGCCTAAAAGTAGCAAAATTATAGATTTGGCAGGGAGTTGACAATGTTTAGCTGTATCTGAGAAGAAAATAGCCTCATGAAGTGTCCCTTTCAGCCACTGGAGATTAAGCATGGTATGGCAGACTACATAAACTTATCAAGCTTATCAAATTAAGTCTTATCAGTTCAGCTAATTGTGTGCACACTGCTGGCACAGGTGTTCAGCTGTGCAGACAGCTTGTATATTTTACATAGAAAAGCATTGCCAATAGAATGAAAGGCTCTGGCGCAGCCAAACAAGCACCTAAGGTCACCACGTCCAGTGCCAAGATTCAGGTGGTTGGGTATAAAGCCCTGCATCTAGAGTGATGGCGCACCATCTAATGCTTTTGGGATGAGTTGGCGTGATCTAGAACTTACCATCCAACATCAGTACCTGACCTCACTGATGCTCTTGTGGCTGAATGCAGTCAAATCCTCACAGCATGAGGACACAGCATGTTACAACAAGCCTTTCTAAAAGAGTTACTGCAGGAAAGCCAGGCAGACTTCCTATGAAATGTTGTATGAACTGGTGTCTTGCTGGTATATTATGTATGTGTCTCTCTCCTCTAGGCGCTGATGGGAGTTCAGTTGGTGGTCAGCTTGCTGGCTGTCAGCATAATGCAGAAAATGGCCCCTCATTGCTCTTTTGCACGCTGGCTCCTGTGCAATGGCAGGTAAGTGTCAATCAAAGCTTTGGGGATGGTTATCATTCCGAGTGCTCTCATCACCAGTATCATTGCTGTTATTTGTTTTTTTCCTCAGTCTCTTCAGGTTCAAACATCCTTCTGAGGGAGAGCTTTGTGCTCTGGCAGGCAAGCAGATGCCCAACAAGACCAGCAGGAGAGACAGGTGACAGCTGAGAAGGAACATCATTCAGCTGCTGCTATCTGTACTGTGTCGTGTTTTTCTCTCTGTTTGTCCTGCCCTCTAACCAGAGCTGTTTTTCAGGAGGCAGAATGGCCACGGGGAGCCCAAACCACTCACAGTTCCGAAGGACATTGATCTACATCTGGAAAGCACCCCTGTGAATGTTTTAGATGCTTTGGGTAGGTCTGAATTCAACTTTGACAGAATCACTATTTCGATTATGATGTGCTTCCCGCCTTTATCTCCCTGCTTGTGTTGTTTGTCTGTAGTTCTGCGGTTCTTCGTGGAGTATCAGTGGTTGGTCGACTTTGCTGTTTATGCAACGGGCATCTACCTCTTCACTGAGGGCTACTACTTTGTGGTGGATGCCAGTAAAGAGGTCAACATTGGGGCCATCTGGTGTGTGTTAATGGTATTCTTCGGCCTGTATCCTTAAACCTTTTTGTTTCATCTGTGCTATGGGGAGGACTTGTTATTGTTCTCTGAAAGTTGGAAATGCTTTGCCATTGCAATTGGATAGTTATGATTACATAATTGTAATTGCAAGTAAAGTGAAAGGTGATGTAGAAGTCTGGGGAAGTTTTTAGTAAAATTAAGAGCTACCTCTCCAGGCAGGAGGCTATAATGGGACTTTTAAATAAATCGATTTCATACAGACATTGCTGATGTACATTTTAGAGCTTCTATCAGGCCTGGTATTTTGATCACAACCCAAATACAGCCTGAGAACTTTCTTTCTGAGCCTGACCTGAACCACATTGTGGAGTTTCTAGTCTGAACTTGAGGCAAACCACATCGTCAAGTTTCAAATTTGAACTTGACCCCTAACCACATCATAAAGTTTCGAGTCTAGTTTTGACCTGAACCATATGATCAAGATTTGAGTCAGACTCTGACCAAAGCCTGACAAAATTCTGTCTGAGGCGCATCACTGAGTTTGGAGGCTGACCCAAGTGCAACAAAATTCTGTCTGAAACTGACCTGAACTTGCTCGGTGCCCCCCAAAGTTTTGAGTAAAACCTGATAGAATGGCGCCTGTTAAATTTCCACATAACAACAATAATAGCTGTAATTAGATGATGGATAAATTCAGTAAAAAGTAATCAAAATAATATGATAGAATAAACAGCTCAAAGTTTAAATTCCACTTTGATTAACTTATTCATCAAACAGTGCTTTCAAACAAAAGTCTAAACCTTTAAAAAAAAATTTAGGCTGAATAAACCTTTAATAATGTGCTCTTCTAATGCTGTGCTGTGCTAATATGGCACAATGTTAGCAGAATGTCGCCTGTTGAAGCCTTCATACTGAAGATATACTTTTGGGCCAAACAGATTAAAACATAAATGTCTTTGGATCCTACTTACTTTTTGAGTCTAGTTCCAAACTCAGTCTGCCAGAAAGAAAAATGAAATATTATAAAAACCTAAAGCTGGGTGAAATCCAAAATAATCTATTTAAAGTTGGGCAGTGGGCTGTGAGAACCTGAGTATGAAACCTGAATTAACCCCAGCCCAGCATATATTTATGAACTCAAACTTAAGAAATCAAGTCCAGCAGGTTGGATGAATATTTCAAGCTCTAGTCATAGTTGGAGCATGTAACACTTTTTTTTTTTCCACATTTTGTGTCGGTCATCTTTCATTTCATTACTGGTCAGACCACAGATGAGGTTAGGTGGTGGGTCACTTTCAACCTCTCAGTGACACTGACGTATGCGACAACCTCAGCAACACCACTACACCTGATACACTCTTATGAACAAGATACTCACTACTATTTCACTACGAAGTCAGTGTCACTGTTGATCCACTACTCAGATTATATCTGGTTTGTGGTGGCCTATGTTCGTTGGTGGACAGGGTAGAAGGTGCACCAGCACTTCGGCTACAGTCTGTAATCGTAAACGTACAAAGTGCAACTGTAGGTGAACCTGATAAAATGGCCAGTGACAGGATGATGCAAACAAACTGGCAGCTTTGTGTTAATCTCACTTTTTGACTTTGAACTCCAGCCTCTTTCATTAGGGCTTTCCCCATGAATCTTGAAATACCTTGACTTCAGTTCCCAGGAGGACACTGCATGTTCTGATGAGCCACTACTTCCGCTCGGATGAGGGCGGCGAGCGCTCCGTGTGCCTGGCATTCGGGTTCCTCTCTCTGCTCGTAGCCATGTTGGTTCTGGTGGTGAGGGAGGACTATCTGGAGTTTGGCCTGGAGCCTGGTATGGCATCAGCTTCTTTTCTTTAACATCAGTCCTGCTTCTACATTGCCACCAGCTTTAAAAAGTCAATTACTGACATTTCAGGTTTCACCAGTGTCTTTGACAACTTTGAAGCATTTGCCAAACAACAAGGTCTTGAGTGGTCGTAAGTATTTGTCTGACTTCTTTACTTTTTTGCAGAGCTTTCTCACAAATGCACACATACTTGCAATACAGTGCGTTCTGTATGTGAAGATGCTTTTTTTTATTTCTTCGTAGAGTTCCTTTCACCAAACTGGGAGTGAAGTTGGGCTTGGCCATCCTTTGTGCCTTCCTTGGAGCTCTGCTTGCTTTCCCTGGTCTTCGCTTGGCCCAGACTCACTTAGATGCTGTGCAGATGAACGCCGAACGGCCGATAATTCAGTAGGAAGCCCACTATTACATTTATGAGGAAAATGACAACTTCTGTATGATTATGAGAGCACTTATATTAATGTAAACACAGGCATTGACGTTAATATGAACGAATAGAAATTTGACCATCATCCTGATGATTCTTTTTGTCTGTTTTTGCAGAATCCTGCTACACGCCAGTTTCCTGTCTCCACTGATTATTCTTGTGTTGTGGGTGAAACCTCTTGCTCGTGATTTCTTGGGAAACGCTCCAATGGGAAAGACATCAGTCACCTTGTAAGTTTCTGTTTGAGGCTTCGTTTTGTCCCATTTGTGTACCTAACACACATTAAAGGGACACTCCAGGCAAAATAAAAAATTTAACCATCTGTGGTGAAACTTGCTGCAGTAGTCTGTAGAGTGAGATTTTCTGGTTTAAAGACTTTTTTGTATTAGTTTCATTAGCTGATGAATACTGAAGGAAACCAGATACCTAACTATAGTACCAGTCTTCAAATCATCATTACAGTGGAGAGAAATGATTGCTAAAATGACAGAAATGACTCATCAGGCAACAGGCTGAAAGCAAAATTTCGAAAAGTAGCTGCCTGACTATTTAGATACCTTACATCTGTTTGGATCTTTTTCTCTGGCTGAAAGGGTAAAAACATACCTGTTGCATCGATTTTGTGCTGAATAAAGTTTTCTTTACAATTCTGTTTTACATTAGAGGTAGAATTACACTAACGTTAACTTGGTTATATTTATTAGACTATAGATCAGTGGTTTGGCTAGCAGTCAAGATTGGTAGATGCTACAGGGACTCCCAGTGGTTGTATGACCTTTTGAGTAATGCATGTTGGGTATTGTAGTGAGAGAACATTGATGATGGAAAACATGAAAATGATACAAAATCGTGAATTCTGTCAAACCGATGAGGCTGAGGGATACAGTTACAGAAAACTGTTTAACTGCTACATATAGCTGCTCTCATTTTAGGCTGTAATGCCCCTTCATACTGTAATCAGACTATGTGCAGAGATTGAATCATGTGACTAGGAATAACTATCACTCCAAATCTGTCGACATTCTAAATTAATAATTTGCTCGCTTTAACTCCTGCTCCCACTCAACATGTGTTGCTTCAGTGCTTTAATCTCTGTATCTGTGTTCCCCAGGCTTACCAGCTCTGCCTTCGACTCTGTGCGCCTGTGGACAATTGTGGTGCTGTGTGCGTTAAGGCTGCTGCTCACCCGCCACCACCTGCAGGCTTACCTCAACCTCGCCCCCAAGTGGGTGGAGCAGATGAAGAAAGAGGCAGGACGTATAGCTGCGATTGACATTCAAAGAAAGGCAAGAGCCAAACACTTATTAAAAATTATGTGCTAGGTCAGGTAATGTGACAGTTCCACTTACACAGGCTGCATTATGCATTTACACGGGGTAAAATGATCAAATATGATTTACTTGTTTGTGATAACCTAGATTGTGCTATAACCTTGGCACAGTCAAGGTTGTAAGCCTGTGTTTGTGATGTACGTTTTCAGATTGCTCTTCATAATTCACTGTAGGTTAAGTTTCTGTTCATGAGGCTGCCAACTTCTTTCTGCAGGTGACCCGTGTGTATTGCTACCTGACTGTAGTGACTCTACAGTACCTCATACCAATTCTACTTGTGCTCTTTTCAACACTGGCCCTCAAGTCTTTAGGTAAGGTTTTAGTCACTTACAGACCATTATTTGTCATCAATAGTTGAAACTATAGCATTTCTGTATTTAAGGATGGCCAGTGGAGTTTTAGGGATGGAAAAGTGCCTTAGATTGTAGACTGTTATCAGTACTTTTGCCCTACCAGGTGATATCGTTTGTTAAATGTGAACAGCTCCAGACTGCAGTGGGCTTTACACCTCCCCCGAACAATCAGTACTAACATCTAGCTAGGAGAAAAGGTGCTATTAAGGTGTCTGGTAATTCTGTACGCCTGGGTGAACGTCGGTGGACAACACGCACCCACACATTCTGCGTCCAGCAGCTATTTTACACCTGCCTTGGCCTCCCTTCACTGGGTCAGAAAATGGCCTCCAACCCACCCTTTGCAGGGATTTTGAAAATCACCCAAGACCTTCGCTGCCTTGTGGATTGGTACCATTTCTCAACTGCTTGATAAAACCTCCACTGGGCATTTTTTATAGGTTCAGCTCACCGGATTATTTTACCAAGTACTTTTTTCCCACTTCTGTTCCACCCTGTAAAGCAATTAGCACTGCAGCTGAGTATTTTTTAAAAGCGATTAATCAATGAATTGATTATTGTAGTCTATTAATTATTCTGTTAATTGGCTAATTAAACCATTATGCTTTCTGAAATATTCTCTCACTTTGCCACTGTTAGAGTGCTGCTATGGTTCAAATTTCCATCTCTGCTACAAATCTGTGTTTACGTTTATTTAATTTAACTATATGCCACATATCGGGGTGTCCAGTCTTACCTGCAAAGGACAGGTGTGTCAGCAGCTTTTCATTTCAACAAAGCAGGAGCACATATCAGTTTGAAGGAATCAGGTGTATTCCTGCTTGACTGGAATAAAAACCTGCAACCACACAGGCCCATTGCGGATAAGACTGGACACCCCAGTTTCTTAGTCCTGCTCTTGGTGGCCCACAGTGCTGCACAGTTTCACTATTCCTTGTGATACCCCACCTGATCCAGCTCACGAAGGGCTCAATAATCCGTTGATGAGCTGGATCAGGTGGGTTGGAGCAGGGAATAGTGTAACTGTGCTAGGCCTGGGCTGTATGACATATATATTGTTATTGCGGTAAATTATGTCACAACACAATATGCTTTTCTGATCATTTCGTGTGTATTATTGTCAGTACTAGTAGATCAATGACTGACTGCATATTTAATTATAAAGAGAGCAAAATTAGTAGTTTTTTTTTTCAGATGTAGCATCACTAGTTATTTTTTCTCTGTTCCAACTGATCAGATGTCTTAAAAAAATAAATATTGTGACATCTTGTATCATGAATTTTATATTGACATGTTGTATCATGATTTTTTTTTTTTTAAATATCATATTATATTTTTGCCATATCGCCCACCTATAAACTGTCCAGTGCTGTGAGTCGCGAGGAGCAGGATTAAGAAACACTGCTGTAATGTATTGCAATTTGTCAAAATCAGTGCTCACCAACTCTTGTCTTGGAGATCTACCTTACTGTTGAGTCTAGTTCTAACTGGTGATATTGCTTGACTGAAACTGAAATTCAGAACATAGTGGTGTGAAAAGAAAACTGAAGCAAGGTAACACTAAACAAAAACAGTTAACACTTACAGTTAATTATTACAGTGTGTAGGCTACAATATGTGCTTACATGTGCCTGAATCCAGTGTCCTTGACAAAAGAGAATGGTTGGTCATCTAAAGCAATTCTTTCCATTTATTTATTTATTTATTTATTTATTTATTTATTTGTAGTTATTTTCCACTTTGGCACTATTGCTTGACAGATTGCTTGACAGTGGCTACAGATGGGGTTGATGTGCCAGCTGGGACTTCTTGCTTCTTCTGTTTTGCTGTATTCTGCATTAAGAACAATGTTTTCAGGTTTCAAGCCTGTAATCGAGAAGCTCTTGGGTGTTGTACCTTTTTTGATAGTTGGGACAAACATTGACTCCAAATTGCTAGTCCAGTGTCCATCCTAGACATTTTGACATGGTTCCAAACAGCCGATATTCTCACTGTTTACCTGCTGCACTAACTGTTTGAATGGGAAGGGGAAAAAAAGGAAACAAACAGAATTTTAATCACTGTTTTTCATTTTATAACTCATTCAGGTCTGTTTAATCTTTTGTTTGTAGTTTTCCAGTCAATTTTAAGTTGTTTTTCTCTTCTCAATTTTAAGTCAATTTTAAGTTGTTTAGATCTCCAGGAGGACGTTTGATGATCACTGGTTTAAATGGATATGTGTCATACCGTCGCTGTCCAAAAATAAATCTTTTTTTCAATTTGTTATTTTTCTAACATCATTTGAACACAGCAGTTCTCCTTTACACTGTGTGGAAATTTCATAACGAATGGAGAAACAGAAATGCTCCAGAATTGCTTAAAATCTCTTTTACATCACAAGTAAAGAACATGGACAGTGTGTGTTACAGAGCATTTTTAGATTGCTTTTAAGAAAGTGATGTGTCTTTTTGTCGATTAATCATTCCACCCCTAAAGTAATACAAGTTAACAGAACAAGACTGTCTCTGATTGGCTTCATCTCCCATCAGGTGACTACTCGTGGGGGTTGGGTCCTGAGACTCCAGGTGTGACCCCTGCACCTGTCCTCCCCACCGCACCTCCGGCATTGCCCAAGCTAGAGGACGAGGATGATCTAGAGGACATGGAAGAGGACATCCAAGCCACCGTAGCCCACCTGTCAGAGGCCTTCACTGCGCTCCGTGCCGTCCTCACGCCGATCTTCTTCAGAGGGGTTTTTGCCTTCCTCACCTGGTGGGTGGCTGCCTGTCAGCTCATCAGCAGCCTGTTCGGTATCTACTTCCACCAGTACCTCATGCAGAGCTGAGGAGTGTTTCTCTGAAGGCATGGTGCACTGTGCCCAGCTCCTCGAGCTACCGACCACCCAACTGCACACACAGCTGTGCTGTGAGCTCCAACTTGCCCCCACAAAACAGGCTCTTTAATGCCTGCTCACTGAGAGACTGACGGTTTGGAGACGTTGATGTGTTTGGCCAAAAATAAATGGGTTGCTAAGGTTGGGATACTTTGCTGCTACCAGTTTGTCATCTTGATTTGTAGCTTCCTTTTATGAAACGGATGAATTGTCTGCTCTGTCTGTTTGTTGAACACGCAGCCTTGAATAGAAAAACTGCAGGAAAACATTGTTATAAAAATCCTTTTTTCATCCTTTTTATTTTATTGAATTGAATCATATCCATAAGTTTATAACACTGATTAAATTAGTTAACTTAGATTAATTTACACCTTCATTCATTATTTTGGTGGTGATGTCTGCGTGATGTAATACTAAGTGCCTGGGAACTCAGGGATGTGCAATCAGAAACAGTATTTGCTCTAATGGCACAGAATAACTGATAAATGGCTTACTTTTGATACTGTAGCTGTCTACAGACTTAGATCTTCAGTCACTCCCTGTTTTTCAACGTGAAGGCTTGATGTATTAAAGCTTTTTGTTCTTTTTTATGCAGTGCTTTTCCCTGTCGGTTCTGCTGCCAAGCGACTGCATACTTATAAAACACCATCAAGGCATTAAGAAGTACTAGATTTGTCCCTGAACATTTGAGATTTAATTATTTATTTATTTATCCTGTGCCATTGAATGATTACACTAAATGATTTGTTAAATGTTACTGCAAGTGGTTTATTTAGGGCATTTTGCACTGTTTTTCAAATGGCTGAACGGTGGAATGCATGGTGTGACAACTGTTTTAAAGAGATTGTGTGTTTTATTAAAATCCAGAATGCCTCTAAACTGCCTGTTTCCTTTTTCATGATGAAATTAGACAGTTCATTCTTAAAATGAGTGATAGCAATGAGCTGTTCCATGAGCAAGAGAGGTGCAGAAATTCGAGGTGCACCTTGACTTTTCATGGCTGATGCTGATTCACTTACCGCCCATTTCTTTTTTGGTTTTTTTTTTTTAAACCTAAAGCACACTGGCATATTTTAGTACTCTTTCTATTAGCCAAAGGTGCAACGTACATAATATTTATCATTTAAAACCTCTTATTCTCCAGGGTATATTTTGGTTGTTCCATCTGAATTTACTTGACCAAATCGTAAGGCAAATTATTCAGTAACTACATGAATGTAAATATTTATTTTTTTGTTAAACCTCCCCTCAAATTAACAGAACGTGTTTTCTGATGATACACAGTTATATGCTTGCAATTTACTGCTGAAAGCCAAAAATCTTAGATGCTCTTTGTATTTTTTTTATAAAAATAATTTTTACAGGGCAGAACACTGAAGAGACACCATCTGGAATCCAGTTTACAGCTCAGATTTGTGGAAAAATGGGTCGACTTTCAGTAGAAGTTCAGCTTCTTTTATTATAAGGGTTTAAAATTACATTATCCATCTATTTGACTGGAAAGACGACAGTTACAGCTCCCATATGACACCCACCTTTTGAATGTAGCTTATGAAATATAAACGTTAAGAAGAATATGAGTTTTGGAACCACCGGTGGTCCCAAGGAGTTGTAAATGGAAAAATCAGTTGCGTATTTATTAAATGACATGGGCTCACACAAAGTGCTCCATCAAAAGTACGAGGCAACTGTTTTTTTAGCACAAGAAGTCATGGATACTTATGCTCCAAGATTCCGGTCTATGTGTATAAGCAGCATTCAAATATAGCGCAACTGCTCCTACCTGCCTCACATTATTTACATCATAAGATCCCAACACAGATTGACCAAAATAATATGATAAACAGGCAGATTGTGTTTTGAGTAAAAGTGCTGAATTTGATCTTGGCTGATTCCTGTCCTGCAGCCCTGATGTTTTCAGAATTCTTTAAAGGTGTTTTATCTGTATACAGTAATGTGGTACAGTAAAGCCAGACCACTCTTCATTTATTTAATTTCCAGTCAAAACAGCGTTTAGTTAGACATTATTCATTTTTCAGTGCCAGGAAGTATCTATTCATCAGAAAATTACACACAAAAGCCTCAACAGCTAAATATATTATTATTGAATGAATAATTTTTCAATATTTCAGTATTTACCCTTCGCCTTTATAACAGCCGCTGCTCTTTTCCTGAAACTTGCTTTCAGTTTTTCAAAGAAGTCTGCAGAGATACACACTTTACAATAAATGGTTCTTCAAGGGTTTTTAGTAAAGAAAATGGATCTATCTAGAACCTTGAACACTCAAAGAACCCTTAGCATGACAAAAGTGTTCTTTTCATCATGAAAGCATTCTTCAGATTGATGGAGAATGTGTTTATATGGTTATGTATATAATCTTTTTGAAAAGGGTTCTATATAGCACCAAAAAGGGTTCTGCTATTGTTGCAAGCTTGGCATCTAAACAATAGAAGAACCCTTTTTGGTGCTATATAGAACCCTTTTCAAAAAGGTTCTATATAGTACCATCTACAGCACATTCTCCATCAATCTGAAGAATCCATGGTTCTACTAAAGAACACTTGAAGAACCATCTTTTTACCTTTTACCAGGTAATCCCAAACATATTCAGTGATGTTGAGGTCTGGACTCGGGTGGTCAGTCCATTGTTCTGATAACACCAGCAGCTTCTTTGTTTGATGTGTCTGTCTCCTTTTCTCAGTGAGGGCTTTTTGACAGCTACACATCCTTTCAGACTCACAGCGCTGAGTCGTCTTCTCACAGTGGAGGGATGGACAGAAACACCAGTGGATTTTCTCCTCTCTCTCAAAGATGAAGGCTTTAAGTGCTGTTTATCTGATGGGGGCAGTTTTGGTGCACAGTTGTTAGGAGTCTCAATTTCTAATAATTTTTTCAAATCCAGTTTTGGCAACTTCTGTTTTTTTTTCACTTATTATCCTTTGACCTTCTTCTTCCTTATGCACGGGGATTATCACATATCTAATCTCAGGAATATGAGTAACGTAGTAAATGGCCATTTTGACTGGAAATGTATTCCTGCCCCTTTTTTACAGACATTGCATTTTGAAAATCAGCAGCAACACTACGGCATTAGAGCTATAGTAATGTCACTGCAGTGCAGCTACATAACAGTCTCTGTGCTTCGTCTGCCCAGCTCAGGCCTGCAGGGCGTTTGTCTGAAAAACGACATGATTTATGTGTGATGATATTTGACTTCTACACAAAAGCAGATTGAACTGAGGCGCCCAGCGGAGGGTCAGATGGTCATATGGCCGAGCTTTTTATTAGCTGGTCAAGTCTCATTGGAGACCTCTTAGGCTGGTTTAAATACTGCAGGTGGAGTGATGGCCCTTCACTGCTATGATTTCAGCTTTCTTTGAGTTCAGTTATTTCTTTTATTTATCATCAGTATTATCTTCCCTGTTTTGGGACAGATGCATCCATATTGACTTCACTTTATTATAACTGCGCTAATAGACTAAAAACACCAGCTATAATTTTAGTTTTAGCTATTTTAAGCACTTCAATACTGCAGTAGCAATAAACAGTGGCATAACACTGTCCTTTCCTGTAGGTACCAGTCACGGTTGTCATATAATCCATCCTTCCTATTCGGTCAGTAACGTCCTGGATCTTTTTCCCACGTCGGGGCGGCGGGTGACGCGTCTGGGAAGAGTATGTGTCGTGATGAAGTGGAAGTCGGCAGGGTTGACATATCTATATAATCACATTCATTATGGGCATCTGCCAGGAGGCCCAGGCTGAGGCCTACTGCAGCCATAGCTGTTGCTATAGGGACCAGACTGGGGTCTATTGAGAGAACGGGCCCTGCAGACGAATCCTCGGCCCCCTGGGACCCGCCCAGACGTGACCCCTGAAGCCCCCCCTTCCAGCTGAAGGAGGAAAGGGGGTTAGTAAACCCAGACAGTTACCCAGTTTCTGACGCCGGAAGGGTGGATGTGATGCAGAGCAGTTGACTGGCAGTGCTTTTGGCTCACTGTGGACGTCACCTGTGTTTGTGAGGCTGTAATATAATTATATAATTAATATAATTAATTGTAATAGTAAGTGTTCATATTATCGTATTTTTTTTTATTAATCAGTGATATTTATCATATTATTGTATAACATTTATATAGCACCTTTTATACAGTGATGCAACTGAAAACAAATAAACGACCATAACTTGAAATGTAAATTTAGAGCAAAATTGCCATTAAAAAACATAAAGCAAAGAAAGAAGATTTTAGCAGAAATATTGATATGAAATCATCATACAATGATGCAGATAAAGAAACATGATAATGAAAAATAACGAGAAGAAAGACTAAAATAAACATGAATAACTGAATGTTTTGACAGTAAAAGATGGTTGGATGGTTCTATATGGAACTAGGAACACACTTTGCATGAATAAATGGTTCTTTGCATCATGAAAGGGTTCTTCAGAATGTGTTGTAGATGGTTCTATATAGAACCTTTTGGGAAAGGGTTCTACATAGCACCCAAAGGCAACGGTTCTGTTCAAAACCTTGACTTCTTTACAGAACCATTTGCATGCTTAAAGGTTCTTTGCAAGGTGAAATTGTTCTCCAGATTGATGGAGAATGTGTTGTATATGTTCTATATAGCACAAAAACAGATTCTGCTATTGTTATGATCCCAAGCTACTGTCTCAAAAATAGTGGTTATTTTAAGGGTTCTTTAGTAAAAAAAATGGTTCTATATAGAACCATGAACACTCAAAGAACCCTTTGTATGATTAAGGGTTCTTTGCATCGTGAAAGCATTCTTGAGATTGATGGAGAAAGTGCTGTAGATGATTCTATATAGAGCTTTTTTGAAAAGGGTTCTGCTGTTGTTACAATGTCAAACTTCAATCAATAGAACCCTTTTTGGTGCTATATAGAAGCCTTTTCAAAAAAGGTGCTATATAGAACCATCTACAGCACATTCTCCATCAGTCACAAGAACCTTTTAACGATGCAAAGAACCCTTAATCATGCATAGGTTCTTTGAGTGTTCGCGGTTCCATATAGAACCATTTTCTGTACTAGAGAACCTTTGAAGAACCTAATTTTTTAAATATGTAGTTCATTTGTATTTTATGTCCCAAAGCATGTAGACACCTGCTCATCCAGCGCTTCTTCTGAAATCAAGAGTAGGGAGTTTGGTCCTTTTTGTAGCTACTTTTCTGGGAAGGCTTTACACTAGAGGTTGGAGCATTGCTGTGAGGATCTGATTGCATTCAGCCACAGGGCCATTAATGTGGTCAGGATGATTGGTTCTGGGTCACGTTAGCTCATCCCAAAGGTAATGTATGGAGCTCCATCACTCCAGAGAACAGTTACACTGCTCCACAGCCCAGTGGGGATCTAGCCGACGCTTGGCACTGGGCATGATGACCGTAGGTTCATGTGCAGCTGTCCCATAGCGTCCCATTCTACTGGTCAATGCTTTTCTCTGAAGAAAAGGCCATATCATCGATATCACGCGCTATATTTGCTAGCTGTAACCTTTAGCATTAGCATTATTGGTGAGCTGATTTCCCTCAGTTGGTCTATAGGTGGTTAAACACTGATGTACTGACCGGGGCTTCTAAAGCGTCACTGCTACCATCTTCAGCTACAAATAGCTGACTTTCACCCTCATCTCTCCGAGCTCGGAGTCTCTATATAGCAACGGGTTCACCCACTTCAAAAAACAGACACAAAAGCCTCGCGCGTAATGCAGATAAAGGTTCTCGCTATCTCACGCGCTTGTGCGACTACTGAAATGACGGGTTCACCCACTTCAAAAAACAGACACAAAAGCCTCGCGTGTAATGCAGAGAAAGTGCATAACCCTCGCGCGAGAAAGGTTCGCGCTATCTCACGCGCTTGTGCGACTACTGAAATGACGGGTTCACCAAACATAGAAACGAACAGAACTTTAATCTTTACAAAAGATGGAAATGATCCACACAACGGCTCATAGCAGCAACATGCCGTGCTCGCGGTGGCGGACAAATAAGAGTCGTGTGCTGACCTCTTGTGGACAAAGCAGTGAACAGCCTAACTAGTTCTGAGTCCATCAGCTTCAGGGAGCAAAACGGACTCAGAGAAAGCCATGCAAACGATACAGACACACAACAGTGGACTAAAATTCTCACACAGAAGTACACTGATACTAAAAATGATGCTAATAATCACTTTGGCAGTTTGAGTCCACAAAACAATGTGCTTATTATCCATATTCTGTAAAAATATTAAAAAAGTAAAAATAAAAAGCATGGCTTTGATCAGTGCACACATACAGAGCAGCTACACACTCAAAAAAGATGGTTCTTCAAGGGCTCTTTGGCTTTAGGAAAGGCAAAGGCTCTGTTTAGAACCATCTGCACGCTTTGCAAGGTAAAAACGTTCTTCAGACTGATGGAAAATGTGTTGTGCGTGGTTCTATAAAGCACCAAAAAAGGTTCTGCTATTATGACGCCAAGCTACACTCTTAACAACGATGGTTCTTCAAGGGTTCTTTAGTAAAGAAAAATACAGCACATATATGTAAAGAACCACGACCACTCAAGGAACCCTTTGCATGATTAAAGGGTTCTTTGCATCATTAAAGGGTCCTTCAGATTGATGTAGAAGAAGGTTCTATATAGAACCTTTTTGAAAAGTGTTCTATGTAGCACCCAAAAGGATTCCTCTATTGTTACAGTGTCAAGCTCGTAACAATAAAGAACCCTTTCGGGTGCTACATAGAACCCTTTCCAAAAAGGTTCTATATAGAACTATCTACAACACATGCTGAAGAGCCCTTTCCGGATGCACAGACCCTTTAATCATGCAAAGGGTTCTTTGAGTGCTCATGCTCCGTTATAGAACCATTTTCTTTAATAAGAACCCTTAAAGAAGCATCTTTGTATGAAACAGGTAGCACCTTTTTGGTACGATGTAGAACCATTTTCATAAAGGTTCTGCATAGAACTGCATACAGCACATTCTCTATCAACCCGAAGAACCATTTCACCATGCAAAGAACCATTTAAGCATGCAAGTGGTTCTATATAGAACTCATGGCTTTTACCAAAGAACCCTCGAAGAACCATCTTTTTTAAGTGTGTAGATATTCAAGTTCACTGGTGACACAATATGTACTGTATACTTTATAACAGATTTCCATGAAAACTCTGGACTACAGTCGTCTACAGTCACGCTGCCCCAGAAATCAACTGATTCCGACATAAACCTCTGTACATTTCATTTTCTTTGAGCATCAAATAAGGTATAAACTACACAACAATCCAAAACAAAAATCAAATCAATCATTAACACGTTGCTTTATACATCAACCATCATCCTATTCCTATCAATGGAAATAGTGCATTTGCCATTTAAAGCTGCAGGTTAAAAAGCTGAGAGAAGTCCCTGAGAGAATATTGCAAGACAAATCATATTTAGCTTCCGAGATTATTTACAGCCCCAGTCAGGGATTGCTGAAACTACGCCACCAGCCAGGGCGTGGAATTCAGTGTGGGGGTCTGTAAGTGGTGACTTTCAGCCTGAAATGTGATGTTTAGGACATTCAGCTTTAAAGGGTTGAAGAAAGAAGTGCTATAAGCCATAAGCTACAGAAGGAAAGCCTTTCCGAGTGGAAAAGGGAAACACTGTTATGTTGTTTAACATGCGTTTAAATTTCAAGCGAGCGAGTAACAATCGGTTCAACATAACCTGATAAACTGAGAGACACTGTTTACAATGCTGTGTGTTCGTGGGTCTTCAGCCCTCTTAAAGGGATGATTTGGCCAAGAATCTATTTTACACAGTCTTCACTCTTACTCCAAATGCAGTCAGTCAATCAAGGCGTGTTTGGTGTCTAAGGTTTAGTTCTTTATCTCTAAACTGGAGCTATAAGCCTAAGTTGTGCGGAGTTTATGCCCATATGTTAGCGTCGTGCGATCCACATCGCCACTTGTCTCAAAGCATGTTGAGTTGTTAAGCAATCTCACGAAGACTTGTTTAAATGGTTTCTGACACTGTATGACATACAGTCATCAATAAAATGGACATAAATATACAAATTCTGGCTTGAAGGAGGCTGTAGGGATGTTTTTACCCATGTGGAAAAAATATATTCCAAATGTGTTTATCAAATATGTTTTTACAATGTATGAAAATGGCCAAAAATGTACTCATTACATATAATTTTAAAATGCATATTTGTATTCGTTATTATATTTTTAACAAAGGTTACAGATATAACTAAATATACATGAACTGAATGAATGGTACTGACTTCTATGTTTTGCATTGAAATTTGCATTAGCCATGTACATATCGCTGCTGTCGGAAGAAAACCTTGTATCTCTAAAATGGTAACTGTACAGTAAAAGCAAAAAACCTACTTTATTTTTAATGTAAGTCAGTGGAACCAGATTTTTTTCCAAGTAATTTTGGGCCGTTTCTTTTGGTTCATTCATCATAAAAAAGCAACAGGTACTTTCAAATTATGTAAAAAAAACTGAAAAATGACCAAAATGGAGATGCGAGGTTTTGTTTCAACAGCAATGATATGCAGTAAGACACTCGCACAAAATGTATTTCAAATAAATATCAAATCATAACTGTATGTTCACAGTGTATCAATACCTACAACACTTGCTTTTGCCATATTAAAGGTTAATTTGCTTATTTATATGTATATATATATATATATATTTCTATGTGTAATACTTTCCCCAAACATTTTAAAATAAATGTATTTTAAAATATATTTGGTTAATATGGCAATATATTCTGAAATACATTCTAGTGTTTGGAATGCATTACAGCATGGACTGCAATGTATTTGACATGCATTTAAAATATATCTATGTATCTATATATAAAACATATAATAAATCTATATATTTTTCCCATATGGGCAGCTATGTGACGTGCTCTTGAGTATATGAAACCGTCTCAGAAACCTCATAAGCAAGTATATTTAAAATTCAGTTTGCACGATGCTAACAGGTCAGTAAGTTTTCATTAACTATAATGTCTTGTCTTGGCTGATGGACTATATTGGGAGTAAGAAGAACATTCTGAAGTGATTTTGGCTGTTACTTTAAGAGGTACTGTGACTGAAAGTAGCTGAATTTCGGGTCCACTTTGGGCTAGTGTATGCAGAGCTGTGTGAATAGGGATTCAGGGCCGTCAGTTATCTCTGCCACTCATCACTCATGTCCAGCTGCTTCTCCTCCACAGAGCCGTGGGCTGTTCTGGGCTGGGCCGTGTAGCTCCCTTTCTGAAAGTCCTCCCTGTCCATAGCCGTATACGGTTCCGGAGGGGCATCACGGTCCCCCATTGGTGAGTGCTGTGGTATCTGATGGCTGGGGGGCGTGGCTGGGGAGCGGATGTGTTCGGGAGAGTGCCGCTCTGATTTGATGCTCAGGTTGAGAGAGGAGTGAGGTGGGGAGGAGGGGGAGGAGCTATGGGAGGGATAAGAGCAGCCAGCGCCTGACGACATCCTGCACACAGAGACAAATAAACAAATAAGTAAACAATCAATACAACATATCCTTAACAGTGATAAGACTGAGGGTACATACAGTATTTACACTGTGCAGTATAACATGCTTATTGGTAATGCAATTAATTCTAACACTACTAATCTAATCAAAGATGTATGTGCAGACTGAGCATGTGCAAAAATGACCTTACTGACTGTGTTGGTTTGGTAGTACTATGTGCTAATTTTAAGGCAAAAATAAAGTCCTTATGCTATTTTGAAACATAGACATACTCCAAAAACATACTGTATTTATTCCTATTGTGCAATTCAAAGATTGTGTAAATAGTACCTCCAGCCACATTCATGTATTCAGTGTATTTTTAAAAATAATTATGAAACATGCCAAAAATGTTAAATCATGGTGAAATTTTAGACTGAATAGTTTCCTCAATCGTTGCATTGAATTGATTAAAGAATCGTAACCAAATCGAGTTATTGTGAGATTAAATGTTTGCACTCCTGGAAGACTAATCAACTTTTTTCCAGTGAAAATGCTCTATTGCAAGAAGTAAGTAAATAATTATTATATATTATGTATATTTTTATTTAATCATTAAACAATATTAATAAAGTTTTACTGGTCATTTTGGATAGAAAATAAAATATATTCGCTATATACTATAAATGTCATGACCCCTGGTTCCTATCACCACCCCTAAAGTTTATAAGTTACATCACACCATAATGAATTACTCTCAATGACTTTGTTTACATCTCTATGACTGAATTATGCAGAATTTTGAAAAGTGGTGGAATTTCCCTTTAAATAAAACAGTGGCCAATTGGTCAGCACAGCTTTGCTCTGCTACAGTCACATATTCTGACCTGCTGCGTATGTCAATGATTTTAGTGCAGAAAGAACAACAGTGAACGTCACACTCTCACCCTGATTGTTGCGGCTCCTGGTGGCTGTGAGGTTGCCAGGTGTTTACTGAGCCGCGCTGAAAACCCATTGTGTACCCCGGGTGGCAGTAATCTGGAAACAGATCAAGTGGATGATTTCAGTACCTAGTATGAATTATTAAGTAACAGTTATGAAAATAATATGCAAGTCATACAGTTATGAGAGGTTTTAAGGTTCAGACGTTCAGCAGAATACAGAAAAAGTGAAAGGCAATTTGAACAGAGTTGCGCATTTACCTGAGGCCCCATAATTCCCTAGGTTGTGTCCAAGCAAGCCGGCCTTCCCCATGGCCACCATGTGGCCTCCAGGATTTATACTCTGATACAGCGCTCTCTGATTACACACAAATAAAAACACATTGTACTGTAGAAGTTCGTGAAGCCAACAGTGATACGATGAACAGTACATATAGTGTTACTCTATGTACTGTTATACTAATAGTGTACACTGTACAGTATAACACTGTTAAGGCTAAAGCAATTAATTCTAACATTACTAATCTAACCAGGCCTCAATGCTTAAAATCATTATATAGGACTAAAAGGAGACCTAAGAGCAGCTACTTCTTAAAATGTCTATTAAGACCTAAAAAACAACATGTTTAGGTTTAAGGCTCAGCTGTTACTGTAGCCCTTACAACAATGCTTATGCTGTAAAAAAAAACAATGATATTTCTGATGTTCAGAATTCTTCAGACAGGAGCTGTTATAACCTACAAATGATCTATTAAAAAGACGTTTCACATATTCCCATAATTCTACATAGGTTTTAATGTGCTTTTAGTTACACCTTTTTTAAATTTAATTTGTGAGCTACCATAGCTACTTAAATTCTAATTAGTTAACCACGTTATATACTTTAGCTAGTCTTTCATCATTTAATTTGTAAGCAACTGTAGTTACTTTAGCTACTTAAATAACACCAGACACTTTAGCTACTCATTTTAATTTGTTAGCTACTCCTTATCTATGTTCGCTATTTTAGCAACTCTTTTTACACTTAATTTGTTCGTTACTTTAGCTACTTAAGTTCCAATTAGATACTTAAGCGGCTCATTTTATATTCAACTTGTTAGCTACTTTAACTACTTTAGCTCCTTAAATTCTAATTAGTCATCTATGTTAGCTACTCTTATTACACTTAATTTGTTAGCTACTACACCTTAAGTTATACTTAACTAACAATGTTAAATACTTTAGCGGCTCCTTTTATATTCAATTTTTTAGCTACTTAAACTACTTTAGCTTCTTAAATTCTAATTACTTACCTGCTTAGCTACTTTAGCTACTCTTTTTATACTTCCTTTGTTGGCTACTTTAGCTACTCTTGTAATACTTAATTTGTTAGTTACTTTAACTACTCCTTTTATATTTAACTTGTTAGCTACTACAGTTACTTAAGTTCGATTTAGTTAACAACGTTAAACCCTTTAGCAGCTCCTTTTATATCCAGTTTGTTAGCTGCTTCAACTACTTTAGCCTCTTGTATTCTAATTAGTTATCTTTGTTATCTACTTTAGCTACTCTTTTAGCAGATTCTTTTATATTCAATTTGTTAGCTACTTTAACTACTTTAGCTCCTAAAATTCTAATTAGTCATCTGTTACCTACTTTAGCTACTCTGTTTACACTTAATTTGTTAGATACTTTAGTTACTCCCTTATATTTAATTTGTTAGATACTTTAGTTACTCCCTTATATTTAATTTGTTAGATACTTTAGTGGTGGCTCAAGTTCTATTTAGTTAACAATGTTAAACCCTTTAACGGCTCCTTTGATATTCAATTTGTTAGTTACTTTAACTACTTTAGCCTCTTAAATTCGAATTAGTTATCTTTGTTAGCTACTTTAGCTACTCTTTTTACACTTAATTTGTTAGCTACTTTAGCTACTCCTTTTATATTTACTTTGTTAAATGCTATAGGTACTTTAGCTCTCATTAGTTAGCAACGTTAGCTACTTTAGCGGTGGCTTTAGCTACTGGTACTTTAGCTGGTGGTACTTAAGCTACTCCTTTTAGCTACTCTTTGTACATTTAATTTAAAATTAAAAGAGAATTGATTACAGCAGTGATGAATGTGTGAATGACAGCATCACAAAGGTACCACATCAAAAAAGTGAACACTCCATATTTCTGATGTGAATAAGTACTTTGGTAGAATTTCTCACAGCATTGCTCAGATTGCTGCGGGCTCCGGTCAGACCCGGGTGTGTCTCCACACGCCGGCCGTCGCTGGCCAGGCCCAGCGGGGGTGGAGTCTTCATCTCCAGAGCTCTGCTCAGGTTGCCGTGGGAGAACATCGGGTAGCCAATGCCTTCACCCGCACGCAGACATATGGGAAGTGAAAACAAGATGTGGGTTAAATTCTCTTTTTCACTCTTATCCCCCTCCATCTCAATCTCACACACTCGCTCTCTGAAAGGAGAAGTATTTTTCACCCAGCTGACCTTTTGCTCAGTATCTACGCACGACATCTGTGAAGTGGTGCCGGCAAGCGTCAATTGCACCCACAGTAATGTCACCCGCACTGACTTGTCAAAATTCTAGTTTCATTTAAAAATTTTGTCAAAACTCTGCAAACTTGTCTGCATTTCAGAGATCAAAGTGGTGTCAAAGGTGGCGCTCGCCACATTCCAAACATAGTACCTGAGCTAGCGCTGAGAACCAAGACCTGAGCACATGTTTGGTTGGCTGGATTCCTGTACATTACTACTAATAGCAGCGGAGGGGTTGATGTGGAGGCTGCTTTAAGATGTCCAGCAGGTGCACTCTTCTGCATAGAAACCACAGCCTGCCTTCAGCCTTCAGCTACTGTTTCACATGTGTTTTGTGTGACTGTATGTGTGTGTGTATGTGTGTGTGTGTGTGTGTGAGAGAGAGAGTGTGAAAGTGTGTGAGAGTGTGTAGGAGGGCATGTATAGGCCTGCTGTTTCATATAGTAGAACTTCCTGTATTTAAACTATTAAAATACTGTATGTTACGCTTGGAATGAGTCCAGATGCCCCACCATCATTATACCGAGTTTATATACGCTTGTCTACATTAGTAACAGTTCCACAGACTTTCGTAATGCTCAGAAGACCATAACATAGAAAAGATAAATCCACAACATGCTGGAATTTATAGTTTCTGCATATGCATTTAACATTCATGTGACAGATACATTATATGGCCAAAAGTTTGTGGACATCTGGCCATCACATCTATATGAGCTAATGCATTAATACGGCCTTTACTGTTTGCACTATGCTTCCTGGTAGGCTGCGTTCTCCTGCCATTTGCCAAAACCAGACCATCAGACTGTCAGAAAACACGTTTCCACTGCTCCAAAGTCCAGCGGCGGCATGCTTTACATCACTCCAGCCGACGCTTGGCAATGCACATAGCGATCTTAGGTTTGTGTGCAGCTGCTCAGTCATGAAAACCAATTTCAAGAAGCCCCTTACACACAGTTAATGTGCTGGTGTTGCTTCTAGAGGCAGTTTGAAACTCTGTAGTGAGTGATGCAATGGAGAATAGGCGATTGGCGATTTTTCCATGCTATGCGCTTCAGCGCTCTATGAGTTTGCATGGTCTACTGCTTCGTGGCTGAGCTGTTGTTGCTCCTAGACTCTTCCGTTTGACAATAATAGCACTTACAGTTGCCTGAGGCAGATCTAGCAGGGCAGAAATTTCAAAAAACTGACTTGTGGCAAAGGTAGCATCCTTTGACAGTGCCAAGTTTAAAGTTCTTCAGTACGACCCATTCTTCTGCCTTTGTTTGTCTATGGAGATTGCATGGCTATGTGCTTGATTTTATGCACCCGTTAGGAATGGGTGTGGCTGAAACACCTGCACTCAATATTATGAGGGGTGTCCACAAACTTTTGGCCATAGATCAACAGAAACAGAATATATATACAAATAACAGAATAAACATAAAGTTAATGATATACAATGACTAAATATGATTATATTTCAATAGAATATACTGCAGTTAATAGGCAGTTTAAACCTGTGACACATAAACTGGCCACAGGCATTTAGAGTATCTACTAAGTATAGGCATACTGATAATAGGCATATAAACATAGAGAATATGCTTTAACCTACTAACATTTACTTTTAGACAGACAGAAACATAGACAGACAGACAGGCAGATAGTCAGATAGGCAGATAGATATATAGACAGACAGATGTGAAGTTGTAACAAATTTCTTAGATGCAGAGCTCCAGCAACAATGCAGTGCAATAACAAATATAAAACTATACTATTAAATAAATATATGCAAATAATGTGAAATATTGAACTGAAACTTGAAACTTATCAAAACATATCGATTTTTCATTTATCACACAGTTTGCAAACCCTGCTCTTTACACTGTTTGAACAGTACATGATGAGCCAATAAAAACTGTCCAAATTACTGTAAATTAAGGTAAAATCTTGCTACATTAATGTACATTAAAGTTGGAATTTTCCTTCTCCTCTAAATTTCCATCCAAATTCAGCTTTTGTTAAAAGGTTATTAAAGGTTCACACAGTACCTGCATGCGGGCCCATGAGTGCAGTGTGCGTGTTGTGGCCGGCGGGGCCGGTAGAGCCAGGTCTGGAGCTGAGCGGTTTGAAGGACGGAGGGCGGTTTGGGGTCAGGCTGGGGTTTGAGGCGCTCGGGTAACCGTTCTCACACCCGACGCCCATCAGCAGCTGAGCCTCAGAGGGAAGGAGAGACGGAGCCTGTAGAGGAACATCAGCCAGAGAAACACTCCTTTATATTCTCTGCCAAGCTCCAGAGACCTTGTCTCTCACCCTCAAGTGTCCTTCCCCTCTCATCTGCAGCGTTTCTGCTCAGTGACTACATTATGTACATTTACCAAGCCTAAAAATTCATTTTCAATGAAAAAAAAACTAAGCTCATAACTAACTGTATGCTTACGCTTATTGTACAATGCTGCACATTTTTAGCATATATATATATTTTATTTCATTTATTTTTTATTGTGAACACTTGATTCTTGTATTGATTTAACATTTTGTGGCTGTTGGAAAAAAAACAAACAAACAAACAAACAAATAAGTATTTTTAAAATGGTAACTTTACAGCAGAGGTCAAAACATTCTTTATCCTTAATGTAAGTTTATCTAAAGCCCATGTGTCAAACACAAGGCCCACAGGCCAATCCTATCCGGCCCGCAAAAGTATTTTAATTTTCTATTAATATTAGCCTGTTTCACAATGCGCTGCACTACAGTCCCCAGCATGCACTGCAAAGTAATGTGCCCTCTGACTGTCCTACACCAACAATAATATATGGGACAGCGGTTAGACTTCAGTTCTACATAACTCTACGCAATTCCACACCTGTCATATGACCACTAGCTGCATTTCAGCTGCAGTTCAACCAGTATAAACACTTAATGTCAGCTCAGCAGCTCAGAAACTGAGCATAAGTTTTAATGAACTTGCAGCAAAGAAAGGATGCCAGGTGTCTAGTTCAAGCAAATAGGTAGGTAAGCAATTTTGGAGCATTTCTGTTGGTTCATTCATCATGAAGGTTTAACACAATGCAAAGGGAACCTGTTGCATTCAAATGATGCTGAAAGATGAAAATACAAACGATGTTCAAATCATGTGCTTCACTTTTTGTCAGTGCATGTGACAACATAATAAACAATTCTGACTAATGAATGATTCAGATTTATACAGGTGCATTATTGTATTCCAGCAATTCAAATACTGTGACGTGGAGTCTGTAACAAGGATTGCCATTTAAAGAAGCTGAATTAAATAGATCAAATGGAGAAGTGCTGTAAGAAAAGTGACACATCATTTAATACAGTCAGTCCTAAGAAGTGATCATTAATTAATGCACTGATGAACTGTCTATCAGAAAGCTAAGGACTTATTTTGCTCATACTGACGTAGTAACGCTGTCGAGCGATGGAGAGGTCCATGCCCTCGTTCATCAGACACTTCTCTGCTCCCGCCTGCATGCCGTCCTCATGATCGATTTCAGCTCCTTCCAGGCCCAGCCCTTTCCTACGCAAGGTCTACGGTCACCAGCGAACAACAGACAGACAAGCAGGCAGACAGAGCAAGAGAGTGAGAGAGAGAGAGACAGAAATAAATAAAGATAAACTACTACGGTTGTTATGGTTGCTCTATTAAACTTGATTAGTAAAAAATAACAATAAACTAATAAAAAAATGAAAAAAAAAATATCAGATGAACCTGCAATGATTAGTTGGCAATTAATAATAGAACCTGCTCTTAAAATACAAAACAAAAACATTCATTTACATGTATAAAGATTTCTTAACAGTGGTGGCGGAACTAGGGGTCCTGATGATTATGATCAAATATAGCCATTTTATTTACTATTCAAAACCACCAGTGCAGCTGTCTTCCGAGTTTCTATATGTAATTTTAATGATTGGAAAATAGTAATTAATCCAATCGTTAAATAATAATTTAATGATTGGATTAATAATAATAAAAAGAAAAATAAGCTTTCTTTTGCGACTATTTTGCCTTATAACACCCTCCATGCATCCCTCCACCATAAATGGAATAAAATAAATTGTTTAAAATATATTTTAGGTCAAAACTTTTTTTACAAAACTACCGTAAAACAATGTCTCAGACATCAGGTGGTGTATTCAAAACCATTAACTTCCTGTGAGGGAGCTTTTAGAGGTGGACGTCTGGTTCCCATCGCCATCACTGTGAACAATTCTGACTCGGTCAGTTTCTCTAGAACGGAGCATTTCACACCAAACCACTCTGAATGACATTGTTGACATGTTAACCATTTAATAATGCAGACATTTTGAAAAATTGGTGGAGTTCCCCTTGAATACTACAAATTATATTATCAACATGACAATTTGAGTAAATGTAGAATCTTTGAAATCTTTGATATACATTCTGCAAGTCTGTGCAAAAGCCTTTGATCGGAAGATAAAACCTACCTGAGAGTCTGAACATGAGCTTCAATGCAAGGAATAAGACTAAAAACCTTATAAAAAAGCTTTAACATGTTCTATTTTTTCCAATTTGCTTAAATTTGAATAGTGACCTAAAACAGTGCAGAATTTTGAATATTTCTTCATCATTTTAATACGTCATAACTTTTTTGGGATGTTTGAGTTTTTGTCCAAGTAATTTTGAGCCATTTTTTTTTCCTCCATTCATCATGAAATTTACACACAATGTAAAGGACAACAGGCCAATTATGTCAAAAATGTATATATATATATATATATATATATATATATATATATATATATATATTTGTATACTTGTTATCTATTTAAGAAGTATTCATAATAATTGGTCACTTTCTAATTGATAACAATGAATAACGATGGCCTACGCTGTAAAAAGTGGAACAGAAGTTCATTTAAAAGTGTTTATGAGGTTTGAACTAAAGTAAAATCTTGAACTGATGTCAAATTTTTCTTTTGTCCATTATTTTACTCAAAGTATTTATTTGAGCTGAATAAAACCACATAAACTGCTTATTACCACATAAAGTATTTTTTTGGTTAAACTGACAAACCATAATTTACAGTGTAACTTGCAGGTGGCACTAACAATTCTATCATCTAGAAATGAAATAAAGTAAACCTTTATAAAGACTTTCATTATTGTTCTATCTATCATAATCAAACTCTGTGCTATACTACACAGGAACCTCTCTTAGCTGAGCATACAGGTCCAGCAGATCCAGTATAAATGGACTCAGAAGGGGAAGGTGTGTACCTCCAGTATGTCGGTGTTGGTGCGGCTCTCGTGCGGCTCGCTGTACTCGGTGTACTTGAGCAGAACTTTGTCCATGTCGGTGCTGGCGTACTGGAACAGACGGTTGGTGCTGTTGAAGATGATGAGGGCGATCTCGCAGTCGCACAGCACACTCAGCTCATAGGCTTTTTTCATCAGGCCGAACTTGCGCTTGGTGAACGTCACCTGGAGAAACCACAGCAGCCGTCAGAGGGGCCCCACAAGAGGATTCAGGAGGCGAAAACACACTCAGCTACTCACTGCTGTAACTCTTTTCACTGTTAGTAAAACCTAACTTATAAAATAACTTATAAAACAAAGCTTCCTAAATTATTTTTGGTTTGGACAAATGAGGCTCCTAACAACTGTGCAAGACCTGGTAGACCAAAACTGTCTGCATCAGATAAACAGGAGAAAATCAAGCTCCACACTTGATTCAGATCTGAAAAGATCCACAGGTATAACTGGGATTATTTGGATTGTGAGAAACAGAAAATGCAACCAACATCTAAGACTGAACTTTGGAAGTGTGGAAAAATATCCCTGCCGATTTCTTGGAAAAAACTGAAAATGAGTCTTCTGAAAAGAATGGAAGCTGAAATAAAGGCAAATAGTGGACATGTCAAATAGTTAAAATGACTGTTTTGACTGGAAATGAAACAAATGAGGCCTACGTTTACATTATGTGGGGGTTCTTTACATTTTAAAAACCATCACTTACACACATTTAACTCCCTCATACATCTCATTTACAAAAAAAAAATTCTTTGCAAGAATCACTCATTGAGTTCTAAGGGCACTAAAGGTGGTTCCTCTATTGCATCACTCCAAATAACCTCTTTTGGCACCTTTATTTTTAAGAGTGTTGTGAAACTTGAAGACGCTTCAAGCTAGTCAATGAATCTAAAGATGGATATCCTCAAGTGTTAGAGCACAAAGAATATCGCAAAACTGCAGTGTGAGTCTGAACGCTTCTTCAGAACGTTTAAGATGATCTTGAATCAGAATCTAGCTGTGGATCAGGAGTCTAATAATTCCACTGAATGATGACGCTCATAGTAATGTTGCTCAAACGTGGAGGAGCCCTTCTCAAATCCAGCTCTGTGGACCCGAAACTCTGTAGTTTCAGATACATCGGATTCAAAATAGCTGAATGTGTCAGAGCAGGGAAAACGTAAAACAATGTGCAGTATAGTGGGTTTCAAGGACCACAGTTGTCAACAATAGCCCTAAAATCAATGCGAATGCTGTTTTTGCCTAATTTGAGCTCTGTCAGTGATTGGGGGTCCTCAGAAACATAACTGACCAATCCAAGCTCTGCCTACATGTGTTCTTTCAAATACGTTGGCAAAAATCTATATAGAAATTATATCACATTAAAAACCGTCATACAGTGTATGATAACATTTCAAATAATACTTATTTTGAAAATGTGACAAGTTACACAAACAAACCAGGTTTTTTAAAATTTTGTCATGTCCAACCTGCTTAGTTTTAATTAGCGTAGCATTTTAAACCTGAAACTCAGCATCATGAAGCAAGTCAAACAAGCACAACTACAGATCCTCATTATATTGAATGGGCTTTTTGTCAATGTTCTGTTTAACTGGCCCAAGCTGGCAACAATTATTTCAAAAGAATGTTTTTTTTGGTTGGAGCATAGGTATCCAGTTAGCTGTATACTTAGTGAGAGTGGAAAACGGCAGGTTGCTGTCTTCACTATGATTTACCCAGCCATCAGCCTCAGCCTCAGACGCTCCGTCTATGAGTCTGTTGTAGCTTTGGCATGCTAGGCTGGGCTCAACTACCGGGATTTTGTTAGTTCCACTCGGACTGGCTATTTGCACATCCTTGTGTACACAATTCCATGCAGTAGATGTATTAGTCCGATGGGAAATGCATTTTTGCAAACAGCTCTGTGAGTTATGACTGAGCCTTTCAGAGCGTGATATAGTTGCTGAACTGCGGCATGCAGTCGTATGCAAAAGTTTGGACACCTGTGGTCAAATTCCATGTTTAGTCGATCTTCTAAGTGAAAATAAGTTAACATAGCCTCTACTGAGTACAAATGTCCACACATTTTAATGCACAAATACTTTTTATTTACTGAGTTTAACATATTTGGGTGAGGGGGGACATAAAATTTGGCCCGTGCAAAAGTTATGACACATTTTGTATTTCATGTGTTTTTATAATATGTTAAACTCCACAAATAAATAAAAATTGTATGCTAAAATGTGCTTATTTTCACCAAGAAAATCAACTTTTTGCATACGACTATAACAAGTTTAAAAGTTATTGTAGAGTGTTTTTTGAAGAATTTAGTAGCTTTTACACTTTTTTCACACATTTGCTGAAGCGCACACCAATTTGTTGTGTACAGGTTTGTTTTGTAGCACTGTTTTAACACACACCTGCCCCTGAACGTCACTATAAAACAGTGGTCTGTCACTAGTTTATTTGCATGGCAGCCAAACGGCCCCTTCCTGTCAAAGTAGGCGGTTCATTGCCATGTTTGGGGAAGAAAAGCAGTAGATTCTCTGACAACAGGCTTCCCAATCACATGCATCGGTCATGTTAAACAACAGGAATGAGTAGTTTGAATAGCAAACTGTACCTGGCGATTTCGCTGGTCAAGAATACGGGAGATCTGTATTTTCTTTCGCCCCATGATGTTCTCTCTTCAGCTCTTCTAGCAAACCGCTCTGTGGAAATAAAAAAAAGTTGAGGTCTAGTTTAGTCAATAATAGTTCCAAAAAACATGCATATTTTTTGTTTTTCAGTTAAACAATAACAATAATATGAGCTGAAAAATACAATGTAACCTCTGTTCTGCACAGCCAAGCCATCCTTAAACATGCAGTAATTCTTGTGTGATACATGACACGAAGTGCCACAACAAATCTGATGGGAAATGCTGTTTTGTCGTGATGCAATTAGTCCCGCTGCCCCCCCGCCCAGCATGAACGGGTGTTTATTTATACCCCTGAGAGGCGGTGGGGGGCTAAAGTTAGTGCAGGCAAACGCCCCCACAGTCTGAGCTGTCCCAGAGTGAGTGTGAGCAGTTCCACTGGGCATGGGTTAAAAATACGCCATCTCCATTTAAAGGTAGACTACAGTAAGCAGGGCTGCAGCCATGGTTAAAATAATAGAGCATCTCAGTGTGGGTAAAGTTCCTGTCCACCCCCTGCTCTCCCATGAGCGAAATGTACACAAACAGTGGGTCTGAAGGGGTACAAGGGTACACATGAGTTTGGACGATGCGGGGCAGATTAGAGTGACAGAAAGCATATCAGGTCCTTTGCATTGGCAACTGTATAATCAAATGGTGTTTAGCTGAAGATGCCATCTCTGATAGTATGAATGCAGTCTAGTAGATTATCCATACATTCAGGAGAATCCATATCTAGACGACTTATTCAAATAAACAATGATGTATTCCCGATCACAGCCACTGAGCTAATATCTCCAAATATAAAGTGACCTCTATATTTATGCTAGAACCACTAGTTCCTCATAGGACGATGTCAATACCATTTTCATTTTCATGTTTTAACACTTTGAAATGTAGCCTTATTCTTCAGTTATTAATACTAAGGCATATTACTTAGCATTAGGGATGTCACTACTGATTATAGAAGTAACAGAAATTTTTTTTATGATTAATCAAGTAATCAGAATTTTTAAGACCGAAACAATAAAAACAGACCAAATTGAACAATAATAAAACTATCCATGAACTTTCAAATATTCCAAAATACTTTATTGGAAAAAGATAAATAATAAAGTCTTAATCAAAAATGAATACATACTTTGTGGCCAAAAAAGCCTGGTAATGGGTTTGCTCACTGGGTGCTCATTGTCAGATGCTATATCGCACTAAAAAGGGGTTCTTCGACTCTTAACAATAGTGGAACCCTTTTAGAAGCCTGCATATAGAACCATTTTTAAAAGTATTCTTTAAAGAAGTCCATATACAACTGGTCTTTTATCATACAGAAAAATTTTGACAATGTAACCAATGACTCAAGTAAAGTCATTAACTAAAGAACCCTTGAAAAAACATTTTAAGAGTGATTTCTAACTGTAAGAGAAAACAGGAGAATATGAGAATTTAGAATATGTTATCAATGCTAACTAATCACTGTCGTTGTCACTGTTGTTCATCAAGGCAGTACGTTTTAATCACTGACTTTTATTAGGTAAATAATAATAATATTCATAACATTTAATAGTAACCTTTATTTACAATATTTTACAAGTGAGTAATTGAGTTTAATTGAGTAACCATGGCAACCCTAAAATATTCAGTGTAAAAAATCTATATTATTACCTTCTCCACGTTTGTCCCATTTTGAAATGTCATAAAACAGATAGTCCTGCTTCTAAAATCTGATTGGCAGAGCTGTGTAAGAAGACATTGTGAAATACTGGACAAAAGCACAGCTATGACCACCTCAACAACAACTGAATTCTGTATTAAAGTGCCAAGTCACCAAAACAATGTCCTGTTAATGGACTGCTATGCTGCTCACATGGTCCATTTTATTTAAACGGAAGGGCTGACGACACGTTTTCTTAAAAATGGAGCTAAAAGATCGCTAACAGGCTAATCGGCTGCTCCATTAATATTCACGGTTAGGCTTTGAATTGAAGTATTAACCGAACAATTCATTGCAAAACCGCAATATAATAGAATATATTACTTGAATATCATACACGCTTCGTGTCTGTGTGTTTAGTTAGAGCTGCCTTAAGTAGTACTGTAGCAAAAGTGCGGGAAAACAAATCTGTGGCACCGTTAGCTTGATGCTAACACAACACAGCAAACTACAGAGAGACACTAGTGGAAATTAGCATTAACGTTGAGGTGGATCTAGTCATAAGGTGAAGTTATAACGAATATTATAATGAATAGTTTTATGAACTGTATTTTTGGTGGAAAAAGTATCAATTTATTGTTAATTATAAATTAATTTGCTTGTTGTAAGTGCCGACATACTTACTTACTTATTTTTTTTTAATCCCAGGCCTTGTGTCCTCACCAGCCCTCCCCCCATCTCTGGGGGCGAACTTTATTTTAATGAGTATAAGTACCTGCTTATAAACACCTCCATTCAATATCTTACAGGATATATATATATATATATATATAATATATATATATATATATATATATATATATATATATATAATATACCAGTATTTATTTATTCAATTCTAGATATTTACTATCCCCCATCCCACCCATACATAGACAGAAGTGAAAACAAAATATCAGAAATGATATCAAAGCATTACACAAAAACACCCACACACACCAGCAAAAGGAACCCAAGAGATAGTATCAATACACAAAGAAGAAGAGAAGAGAGGAGAGAAGACAATTGTCTGTGTGAATCTGTGTGTGTGTGTGTGTGTGTGTGTGTGTAGTTAAGTATGAGCTGGGGTGTTTCACAAGTCAGCGTTGATTTATAAAAGCAATAACCACCTTACACAAGGTTTTAAGAACAAACCACAGTAACACACGGCCTCTCGTAGCTTTAGCATTGTGTTATCTATGTGTCACAAAGTATATAGGATTACTTGCTATTTCACCTGTAACCACTGAGCCAATACTGTCCTTATTTAAACATCTAAATTTACACTATGTTACGTTACAATAGCTCATCTTATATATTCAGTTCAATATCATAAGACCACATCATCAACATCTCCACATCGGCCCCATCTTAAAATGAAGTGAAGTATTGGTTGCCATGTTTCTCTCTGCATGGAGGGCACTGTCCCCAGCGTGTCCACTGATGATGCAAAAGCCTCAGGGAGCTCCACCGCTCCTTTTCCCCCCTCTCATATTAGACATGTTTGACCTCGCCTATTTTTAGACCCTCTAACCCAATGGTGAGCGGATATGGTGCCGAGGTTCTCATGACCCAGCAGTGCCCGCTGCCCTCTCGCCCACTCCTGGCACCCAGACGCATGAGGAATCCAGAGGAATCCAGATTTTGCGCCATTCTTTCCTTATAAAGAAGACGCTGCTCCGAGCCACTTGTGAAGCTTCATCATTCGCACCTTATAACTTCACAGGTGACTGGGTCTCAGCCATGGACAGTTGTTGTGTACAGATATGAATAGAAATGCAGGGAAGTGGTCTTTATCAAGAGATCTCTATCGCAAACCTTCACGTCTGTCTCTAAGTTTAAACTCTAAGGTTCCTCTTACTCACCAGCGAAGCCGCAAAGCTGAATCCATAAGCAAGGCTGCATATCGAATCAAGCACAGACAACATATTACATGAATATGTATACATTTATGACAACCTGCCTCAAAGTATTGGAGCTGTACGTTTGTGACATTAAACTTGAGTACATTTGACGTGTTTTGCAGACTTGCACTCTCAGATGGTTCTTCAAGGGTTGTTTAGTAAAGAAAATGTTTCTATATAAAACACTCAAAGAACCCTTTGCATGAATTGCATTTTATTGTTATATTATATTGTTACAGGGTTGACATTGTAACAATAGAAGAACCGTTTGGTGCTATATGCATGATTAAAGGGTTCTTTGCATCGTGCAATGGTTCTTCAGATTGATGGAGAATGTGTTGTACATGGTTCTCTATAGAACCTTTTTGAAAAAGGGTTCTGCTATTGTTACGATGTCAAACTTGTATCAATAGAAGAACCCTTTTGGGTGTTATACAGAACCCTTTTCAAAGAAGGCTCTATATAGAACCATCTCCATCAATATGAAGAACCAAGCAAAGAACTCTTTAGACAGAAACATTTTCTTTACTAAAGAACCCTTGAAGAACCATCATTTTTAAGAGTGTTCCATTGTAGGTTTGCATAATATACTTCAGATAGAACTTGCACAGCCAGTGATAAATTAGATGTGTAAGCATTCCATTAACTTCTTCTATAAGTACATTCAATAAGGTTAATATTATATATGCCATATTGTATTGGAACCATCAATTTATGTTCTCAGCAGAGAAAATCTGTGAGCTTGTTGCTCTTTTTAATTACCGTTAAAGGAGAATTCCACGAATTTTTTAAAATGTCAACATAATTACACGGATAAGATGTAAGCAAAGTCATTCAGAGTGGTCTGGTGTGAAAACTTACAGAGTCAGAATTATTCACAGTGGTGGTGATAGGAACCAGACATCCGAAGTGTTTTAAAGCACAAATGCACCACCTGAAACACTGTTTCACCATTGTTTTGGGAAAGTTTTTGTCTTAAAACACATTTTTAAAATACATTAATGGATGAGAGGTGTGTGCAAGGTGTTTTAAGGCAAAATAATCTCCTAGGAAAAATTGGCTTCTTTTTTCATCATCAACATTACATATTAAAAATGGCACGTGTAGGTTGACTGGTGGTATTGGATAGTAAATAAAATGGCTATATTTGCATTGTAGACTTCGGGCCTCATTCATCAACCGTTCTCAAGAAGAAATTTCTTCTTAAAACCCACTTACGAAGATTCTGACATTCACCAGTGCTTTCAGAATCTACACTAAGAGCACAAAGGTGAGAACAATTCTACACACAAAACCAGGCAACAACACAAGACATAACTGGCTTAAGAACACATCATGAATCTGATGTAGACTTTTTCTTAGGACTTTTCTCAAGAACAAATTTAAGAAAAACTTAGGAAGATATTAGCAAATGAGGCCCACCGTGACCCCTAGTTCCTATCACCACCACTTAAAAGAAATCAGTGCTGGTAAGCTTCTTAACAATGAACGCTTTTATATTGAACCACTCTTTGAGCTCTTTGTGCTCTTTGTTTACACCTCAGTGACTATGCTGAAATTTGGAAAAATTGGTGGAATTTAATTAACTCAAATTAACTTAAACTCTTAATTAACTTAAATTTTAATTAACCTCCTTTAGGCTAAAGAGCACCAAATTACTAAAGTCAAAATCTT